TCATCAAAGAATTTAATCAATGTCCCACTGAAAAGGGATTTGAACTATGCATGACTGCTCTGATAGTATGAGACTATCAAGAGTATACATTATTTGATATTTATGGTGGTTTCTTGTTACTGTGCAAGGTATAACTCATATTTCTAATTAAACATTTTAATATAACACAGCTTGTAAGTGTCTCATGGTACAGCCTGGTAAGGATACAAGATCGGGTTTTTAAAAGGAGCAGTGATTTTTTAAACACCAACACCAATGGTTTTCAACATGATTCTGCTTTGCCTTTCCCCTCTGCCGCAAAACTTACAGCAAAAATTCCTAACAGGAACATCAGTCAATTTATGCGCCATTGTACAGCAGTGTGTTTTGTGGCAGATTTGCTTAAATATCTTTCACTGAGATAAAGGAACTGCAAAGAAAAATGGCACTATTGTGAATTTTCCCTGTTTTGTAACTCTGTATGGCCAGATTTACAGATTGCTGAAATGCTTTACTCCTTTGATTAAAGGACAAAGAATTAAGTGAACTTTTCTACTGAATTCAGTGGGGGAAAATAATCAGTAATAATCATGTTTCATTTTAAAGCACATAATTAACTGACCTGGTCTCTCACAAGCTAAATCTAAAGCCCAGTGACATCAAAAGAAAGCTTCCCATTGACAGTTGATCAGGGATGTATGACTGTGTAGCTGATCATTGGCGAATTGCTGCGGAGAAATGACTTTTTGAAATCAGATGGCAGCTAATGCCTTATAACTACTACAGCAATATTGCATGGCATTCCCCTTACAACAAATTGGGTACATGAGAGCACTCGGTTTCTTGCTGCCTGAAAGGCTGAGGGTTTTTTGAAGTCTCTGATGAGCCTGTCATCTCCTCCCCAACCATGGTAAAAAGGGACATCCCTTCACAGCCTGCATTAGAAACCAGATATCCCACACAGTCACATTTATAGACCACAGATGTCCATAATGAATGTAACATATTTAATGTTCCAGTTGTCCCATAATGTGCCATAATGAGGAATGAAGAGCTAGGGCTGGAAGGCAGCCCTGGCCACCAAGTAGCCCCTATATCCTAGGGATATCATGGGTTTCATCTTGAAACTTACTCCTTTAGCTTGCATCCAAAGTGCTCCCAGACACTGAGGAATAAAAATAAACCCTCTGTTCTCCACTCAATTACGGCTTTTCTTAGATTCATATCTAATTACTCTGACCAGCAGTTTTCCTCAGGGTATCATTATTAGGTCTCCCTTAGCCTCCTTTTGCAGTCACTTCCCCTCCATTGAGCTGATGGTTTCTGCAGCTTTAAAAGGTCTATCCACAGGCTTTGCTTTAGCTCAGCAGCTTCCACCTTCTTCTCCCGGGGCAACAGCAGGGTTAACTCACAGCTCAGTAGCTCTGACAGAGCTATTGGAACAGTAGCATTGTCTCTGGAATAAAAAGCATGATGAAAAAAAAAAAAGAGGGTCTTCACATAATACAGAGATTATCAGAATGTCTCTATTCACTTTCTACATGGAGACCAGGAATATTTCTTTGCTGTTCTCTAGGGCTCTTTCACCCATAAGAGTCTTGAGCCTGCAGCACACAGCCCCTCTTCTGAGTCAAGCTGGTGTTGCTGTAAAACTTCTAGTCCTCTCCCTGCCACCTTCTTGAACCACAACAAATCAATATGTTTCCTCTGGAGCTAAAGTTTCTGATGTCTAGGAAACTGCAGTTCCTTTAGTGAATGTACTTCCTTGCCTGACCCATTTAACTGTGAATATAATTGGTAAGCAGAACCTGCAGAAGATACATAAATTCATAACATTTATGAACAGTCTGTAAATGCTGCAGATGCCCACAGCATCTGTCCCTTTGCATCTGATAGACCTTGAATAATCCATGACATTGCAACTGTCACAAGTGGTCTCATGATAAATTTTTTTAGCCTGATTTCTTAAAGGTATGAGGCTAAGCCACTCTGATGAGTGGAGCTGTTGCTGATGTATGTGCACTCTGCCTGGGATTTCAGCTCTGCTTTTGGGAGAGGGGTAGATGAGGAATCACCATCCAGCATAAGCACTTACCTTGCTCACTGCTGAACTGGGGACTCTCAGCCTCACAGTCTTGCAGGTTCCCCCACACAGATACTACTGTTTAGGCATGGGGATCTGTGCCAGCATCCCACTCCTGCATCCTCCCTGTGTGATAGAGATGCTTGTTAGCTGTTGCTACATATTGCTGGAATAGGCTGCAGTTAAAGTGACTATGAAGAACACTTCAGAGTTCTTGTTTTCTCATGAGAAATTGTCGTTCAAGTTATAAACACCTCTTGAAGATACTTGCAGAAATATGCCACAGGGAAATAGCAGATGATAACATTGCAAAGCAGTGGTATCATCTCTGTCAAGACCTTCAAAGCAGATGTCCTTTCTTGGCTTTTTGGGCTGCTTTGTTCCAGAGATGGCAAGGGGTTGAAATAATTTTTTTGCAAGCTTTTGATGGCCTATGAAATAATCTTCTTTTTGTGTCTTTAAGCAGCTGATGTATCTCAATGTGTTAAGCTTGTGAACACTACTATTGGCCTGGTAGCTTGTAACTTTACATTGCACAAGAATCAAGAAGCCAACTGAATTTGCTCATTTTCATTGCAGGAGAGTACTTTGTGAGCCTAATGTTAGGTGGGGAAATGATAAACCTAGTGTGACAGGGTTCTGTATCTATGAAAAAGTACAGACTTCTCTCAGAAAGAATCCACTTGCCCAAACAAGACTCCCTGAAAGCCAGCCTGTGTTTAGGGGCTTCAACCAGAAACAAACCCCAGTTTGCTAGACTTCAGCTTCCCACACAGATAAAACCTATGGCTCAGACGTGGTGACCACTTACTCAGGAAAATTTTTACATCACCCTAACATGGTGTCATTTGATAAACTAGTATCACCTCTACTAAAATCACAAACAAACTAACTGCCAAAAGCAAAGACAACCGTAGGAGAAATTAGAGCTCAACACAAGGGTTATAAATGAAGTTTGCCAGGGCTGGATTTTTTTCTCTCCCTGATATAATGAGATCAGAGACCTCCATATTCTCTTCTGAATCAGAGATTTATGCACACAAATGGTCTATGTGTCTTCTACATGGTTTCGGTTTCTTATTATACCACACTGCTTCGCCCTCAAAATAATGGAACAATTCCTGCTTGTCTGCTAATTAAGTGTAAAGTTGTCTGAATCTCTTTATTAACACAATTTTAATGTGCTGATTGAATGGAATATATTATGTTTCCACTTGCTTCTGAGTTTACCAGACAGATTTTGCTATATTTGTACTGTAATCTCTCCTGCTTCTCTACAGATGAAAAGGAAAGGCCCAGCCTACTGCTTATACATAACATCAGTTTGTCAAGCATTATGTGCATCCCCTGGGATCAGTGGAACTATGAAATTGTATCATTATCATTGCCTGCTGCAGTACTGAACCACCAAGCAGGGCCTGATAGAGTATGCATGCATGTTTGTGCAATGACATTTTTAAGCCATGGTTTGCCTTTTCATTTCTTTACCTCCTGCATACTAAACCAGCCCCAAAGTATTCCAGGCTGGTGCCCAGAACCAGAAGTTCCTTCTCCTTTTCAAACAAGGATTTTTTCAGGTATTTGAGCTATTTCACCCAAGCCCATTATTTACAGATAGGAGAACTGCTGCTTTTTGCTTAGACACATTCACAGCTTCTGAAGAGAGAGGCAGACTTGCAGACTGCTGTGAAGTGATTTGGGTTTCAACCTTTGTCTCCACAGCACGCCTTTGAAAAACAGGTCTCTTGCAGGCGCAGAGTTTGGCTCTGCAAACAACTGAAATGTGCATATAAAGATAAAGTGCAACAGAGCAGAGTCATGGCTTTACAGTATCAAGGTCTTACTTAAAAATGCGGATAAACCTGGAAGATCTTCATTTTAGGCAAATTTAATTCTTTCCACTTTGTTACAGGAAAACAAATTTCAGCTCTAAGTAGGCACCAATCTGACAGGAAATTCGTAAGCCTATTAGAGAGGGAAGTGCACTTGAAAGAACACCCTTTGACACTGAGGAAGTTACTGCTTCTTTGTAAGCCAGCACCTTAAAATGCTCTGACATCAGAAGTAAATGAACGATCAAGCGATAAAGCCTCGTCTCAGTGTTTGCTGTTGCTCCAGCTCTGCCTCACCAGGCTGTTTTGCTCCCTGTTGGTCCTTAGGGGTTGGACAGAGAGCTGGCACCAGGGGAACTCTGTTGACGCTTGCAGCTCCTGACAGGGCACGACAGTGCTTTTGGACTCAGCCCTAAACAAACAGTGGTGTCAAACTTTTCAGTCCTGCAGGGAAGTCACCATGATGCAGCCAGCCATGCTAGGCTAGGTAGGATTAACTCTTCCTAAGGCAAGGCATTTTCCTCTTCTCTGTTGTCCAAGTCTGAGCAGAGGGCTCATTCAGCCACCTTCCATTAGCTCGGTAACCAGAAAAGCAAAGTGCTCTGACAAGATGTGGTTGTGGAGGATGTGAGAGGTTTCAAATCCCTCGTGCACTTTTGCAGAAGCGTGAAGGTTAAAGCAATGTTAACATTTAAAGTGTAAGGAAGCAGACTGAGGAAGCACAGTCCCAGCAGCCTGGCAGCTCTATTGGTTTCCTATATATCCTGTACAGGCGAACACTGTGGCAGGCTGAAATGCTGTTATGAAATATGAAAACAGGGCGATTGATCACATTGTATTATGAAAAGTAATTTGAAAGAATTTCATGAATTTGTACAAAACTTGTGGTTCGTATTTTTAAACTATATTATTATTTAGCTCCTGGAAAACAAGAAATGTAATGCCAGTAAGTGATGCGTAATGTTAGCATGGGAAAGAGAGCTCCTGAATGAGAAAAAGGGGGTGTGGTATTTTTGCGGAAACATTGTTTGAATTTGTGCATGTTTTGCCCATTTTTCCAGGGGGGAATGATGGTAATTTCCCCGCCACTCTTAGGACTGTTATTGTAGAATACTGCAGTTAAGATTTTGTGATTTAATAAGGAAGCCCACCTACGACTGGGGTGAAATATCTGTTGCAGATTTTAAATTTTTGTGTTAGCAAAAAATCTTTTGCAAATTTGAGGAAAAGATGATGAAACTGAACTGCAAGAATTTAATTTGCCATTTGCAGGTCTTTATTCTCTTTGGCTGCAAATGAGCCATCTACTAAGGCTCATGCAAAACGAAGAGATAGAAAACATGAGTCATTGTCTCTGGTATGCAGAAGGAAAATGAATGAAGTTTGCGATCTGGACATTGATCTCTAGCAGCCATTTTTGCCTTAGATAAATCTCCAGAAGTCTGATATCCTTTTAGACTCAGTGATAACTAGCACAAACTGTTTGGTTAACAAACAGGGCATTTTCCAAATAATGCTGAGTGGGATTTCCACTCAAGCACTGAAATACACTTCAGTATCTCTGATGGGAAAACGAAACACAGCATAGCAAAACACAGGTGGTATGTTCTAATAGAGGCCAAACAGAAGCTACCACTACAAGGAAAGGGCACTTGGAAGATGCGGTTATTTATTGACAGCAGCATTCACTATTCCATCTCTGTGTGTCAAAAATTCTACAGTGATGTGAGCTAAATGCAACACAATCTTGAAGTTGAGATTTTCTTCTTTCCAGTTCCCTGCAGAAGGAGCATCTGCAAATTGGAAAGTGGAATGGGGAGCAAATAAGAAACAGAACTGTACAAAGAAACAAAGGTTTGGTTTGAGGAAGTGTCAGGCCTGTCCTCCACAGCAGGCCAGTGGCTGCATGGAAATGTGACCATGGATAACATAAGCAGCAGTGCCATTTGTACATAGAAATTACTTCTGTGTTCATGTGAGATCAAGAAGCAATTCCATCACTCAGATCTGAAGGGAATTGTGCTGTCTCAGCTGAGCATTAAAAGTTATGAAATTCAAAACAATTTACATGACTAAAACTTGACAGAACTGAAATGCTCATCAATAGGTATTGTCACAAAGGTAGCAGGTTCTGAATAACAAGCTGAGTGCTATAAATAAGGAGCGGAGAGGTAAGTGCTTTTTTCAGCCTCTTGCACTGAACTCCTTGGGTTGTAGATAGCTGTGAGAAATTCTGCTTCAGGGACCAGGCAAAGGGGATGACAATAAACCCCTTATTTTCATGTGCCAATTGGTCACTAAATGCAATTATGCTTTTCCTGTTCTTCTACAGAGATACACTGTCACAACAGCTTTACCAACAGGTAGGCACTGTCATTTAGTTTAGGCAATATTGTTCAATACAGTCTTCCTATATTAAATAATAACACCCACTGGCAGAACTGGGAAAATGTTCCTCCTTCTCAAAGAAGCAGTAATCTCAGATGCAGCCTTTGAATGAAGAAAATGTTGCAACTGGTGAAGTAGAAAGAGCATTTATGTGCCCCATTGTGTACCCAGGGTCACTGTGCCTGGGTAAAGACAAACCACTTTCTGCAGCTGGGCTTTTCCAAAGTGGGCAAGAACTAGTGTGGACTGGCTGGAGTTGAGCGGAGGTTTGGGTAGGGTGAATTCAACTGTTTTGACTCAAATGTGCAGCCTGGACCCGCAGGCATGAGAGCCACTTTAGTGGAGAAGATAAGAAGTGTTCTATGCGGACTTCAGTCTAGCATCTCCTCCTGTCACCACAACACCCCCAGATTAAGTCCAGAGATATCTTAAACAGCTTTAAAGACAGAACTGAATTGGAATAGTTTGAATTATGATCAAAAATACAGTATATAATATATGGTTTTATGAAGCAAAAAGGCTTCCTGAATTTCTATTAACTTTTTTATCTCTGCTAGCAAAAGGAGTTGTTGACTTGAGAAATGCATATTCTCACACAGCAGTACTGTGTATATATCTGAGACTGTAAAAGTGAAAGCAACTGGACACTGATTGGTAATAAAGGTGAAAGTACACAGTTCATTCTTGTTGCTCACAGTGGAAGAAAGAGCAAAGCAAACAGGATTAAAATCCAAGTTAATTAAATTCCAAATACCTTTCAGTGTAATAAGTTACAATGGTATTAGTAGCACAAGCTAGGAAATTTATTACTAAAAATAGCATTTTTTCAGCCTCCCTAGGTATTCTCTGTACTTAGTAAAGAGGGGCGAGCACATCCAGAGGGCGTTTCAGATCATAGGAGAACTGAATTATTTTCTCATATGTACTCAATCTCTTTCTTACTCTCCCTATAAATATATATGTACACAGACACACAGAGGCACACACACACAAGGGAAGATTTATATGTCTACACACACATATGTCTCTGTGAGTATCTAAGTTACACACACATTTGCCTGTGTACACAAGCATGTGTGCAGCTGTCAACAGTCCCCAGCAAGCTGCACTCCGAACACAGGACCCTTCCCTACATTTACACAGGATAAATCCAAGTATGGAAGTTTGACAGAGCAAATTATGATTCTAAGTTTCCACTGTTTTTACAACTGTTGCACAAAGGAGTTTGTTCTGACTTTCTCTGGTTTACTTCATATCAGCGTTAAGGCTTTGAGAATAAAGCATATCAGAATAATATATACGTGGCTTTAAACAGAAGCTGGTAGTTAAAGAATTAATACATGATTCAGCAAACTAAATATCATACCTGAGAGATATGTAGTCACATCTTCAGCTCATGTAAATTGCAGAGCTCCCAAGACCTCAGCCCTCCACAGACCAGTTGAGGAACCTGTCCTTGATCAGAACCTGGATCTGCCTGTGCGCCCCTGTGGGACCATTTTCATGGGTTGTTCTGCAATGCCCTGGGACCAGACGGATCTCTCTGACCTGGAGGTGGCTGCACTTCAGCTCTGAGCATGCTGTGGAAACTAAACTCTGCAGCTACCAATGTAAAATGCATGAATGTTACTGAGCAGCATGCACCCTGATCAGTGCTCAGGGAAGAAGACTTGGCCTCTCACATGCAGGAGAACAGTATTTTAACTCTTGTTTGGAGGTCACTGCAAGAACTATGACAGAGAGTAAATATATATCTTTCTAAATGCTGACTACAGAGAAGCTTGGGCAGAAGCTACTCCATCTCAGTCAGACACAAAACATTTTAGCTTGTAGTAGCATTGTGGTTATCATAATGTGACTGTTACCACTGTGTTCCATGATCTTTCAAGATTTTTAAATATAACTGGAGATAAACAGGTAAACTCTGTGTCTGCAGTTCTTCCCCGTGTAAGAAATACCATGAACATCAACAATTGCTGGGCTTATCTTACTGCAAATACTTACTCAAGTTACCTAATGCCGCTCACAGGTTTTACGGGGATTCCTGGTGTTGGCTGAGATTCTTGAGTAAAAAGCTCTGTAACTGCATAATGTTTTACCCCAATAAGAGTGATTAATACTGTTATTAATGATTGCTGTCTTCTTCTCATGTTCTAACTAAAAATCCAAAGCTGGTGGCTAAAGGAGGACACCAAATATTAGGTGACGCACGTATCACTGAACTGCCAGCTCCACATCCTGAGCATGGTCCCTAGTTTGCATGTGGCAGCCAGTCATTTTTAGGCATCTCAGACTACATTTACTGTGACTGTAACAGAGAGCCTGAATACAAGAAATCCACAGCAGCACTGGCCAAATCAACCCTTCATCCTTTCATATGAACATGACTGCTGGGCCTCACTGATGACGTCCAGTCCTCCATTTAGTAAGTCACTTAAAGAACAAAGGTGACTTTCTAATACCTTCTACCTACCAAATATTGGACCTTAGGTAGATATTATTTCCCCTAATTGTAGTTGCAGTGCTCTTCATTCTTGAAATACACTCCAACAGAAGGAGACAGCTCTAGGTTTTTAAGCACATACTCGCTTTGATTTACTGCAGGGTAAGCCTATATGGAAATCTATAGACACCACAGCTTTCACCCATGTCCTTTCTATGTTGAGGACATGTTCCATGTCCTTTTTATGTTGCGGACACCAGAACTGCACACATTACTCCAGGTGAGGTTTCACAAGAGCAGAGTAGAGGGGCAGGATCACCTCCTTCAACCTGCTGGTCACGATCCTTTTGATGCAGCCCAGGATACGGTTGGCTTTCTGGGCTGTGAGCACACACTGCAGCCGGCTCATGTTCATTTTCTCATCAACCAGCACCCCCAAGTCCTTCTCCACAGGGCTGCTCTGAATCTCTTCTCTGCCCAACCTGTAGCTGTGCCTGGGATTGCTCCGACCCAGGGGTAGGACCTTGCACTTGGCATGGTTAAAACTCATGAGGTTGGCATCAGCCCACCTCACAAGCGTGTCAAGGTCCCTCTGGATGGCATTCCTTCCCTCCAGCGTATCAACCGAACCACACAGCTTGGTGTCATCGGCAAACTTGCTGAGGGCGCACTCAATCCCACTGTCCATGTCAGCAACAAAGATGTTGAGCAAGACCGGTCCCAACACCGATCCCTGAGGGACACCACTCGTTACTGGTCTCCAGCCGGACATTGAGCCATTGACCACAACTCTTTGCGTGCGCCCATCCAGCCAGTTCTTTATCCACCGAGTGGTCCATCCATCAAATTGATGTCTATCCAATTTAGAGACAAGGATGTCGTGTGGGACAGTGTCGAACGCTTTGCACAAGTCCAGGTAGATGACATCAACTGCTCTACCCCTGTCCATCAGTTCTGTGGCCCCGTCATAGAAGGCCACCAAATTGGTCAGGCAGGATTTCCCCTTAGTGAAGCCATGCTGGCTGTCACCAAGCACCTTGTTGATTTTCATGTGCCTTAGCATGCCTTCCAGGAGAATCTGCTCCAAGATTTTGCCAGGCACAGAGGTGACACTGACTCGTCTGTAATTCCCTGGGTCATCCATTTTCCCCTACTTGAAAATGGGGCTTATATTTCCCTTTTTCCAGTCATTGGGAACTTCACCTGATTGCCAGGATTTTTTAAATTTGATGGCCAGTGGCTTAGCAACTTCATTTGCCAGCTCCTTCAGGACCTGATGGATTTCATCAGGTCCCATGGTTCAGGTTCTTAAGATGGTCTCGAACCAGATCCTCTCCTACAGTTGGCCTACAGTCACACTGTTCCTGCATCTGCCTTCCAAGACTTGGGTGGTGTGGGTAGAGCATTTGCCAGTGAAAACTGAAGCAAAGAAGTCATTAAGAACCTCAGCTTTCTCCATATCCAGGGTAGCCAGTTCTTCTGATAGCTGCCGGAGAGGGTACACATTGTCCCTAGTCTGCCTTTTATTCGCAATGTACCTGTAGACACCTCTGAAATTAGGAAGAGCTTTAAAAATAACCAAAATGTACTGCACAGATGGTAAAAACTCTAAGAAAGCAAAGGTTTACTGAGCATATCTAAGCTGAGATGGCTTGATGAATACATCATGAGCTGACAGCCTAAGTGGCTTATCTCTGTGTCACTAGTGAGTTACTTGTCTGTTAACTCCTGCATTCTGTAGAGCTGGTTTCATGTGTTTCCCTCTGTCTTTATTAATGTTCCAAACTCATTGCTGGAGTATTTCAGTTTGTCCAAACTTGATCCATTTTCACTCTATTGTCACTAATTTATTCCTCTAGCTCATTAGCACCTTTGCATTGTTGATGATATTTTTTCTTCTCCCTCTGCAGGTAAACCAGTTTCTAGGGGGCATAGAGATGTTAGTCCAGCACATAAACATGATCTGGCATGCAGTGGTCCTCAGTGGCTGTAACCCATGAAAGCTAGTAGTGGAGATAGTGAACTGGATGTTCTATCAAGGCAGCAGCAATGGGTGGTCATAATAAGCCAAAATAAAAGAATGTAGACACTCACCAACCGTGTAGATGACCTTTAAAGGTCCCTTCCAACCCAACCTGCTTAATGATTCTATAACGTGAGATGGCCTTTCTTTGTGCTACCTCATCCTTCTTCCTTAAACTGCTCATAACCTACTGTATCACTCATCAGCCCATCTCAAAACCTGCCTTTCCTCTTGATTTAGACTTCAGTTCTTGATTCTTCCACCCACGTCTGTGTTAATTTTCCTCCTTCATGTTGAACTGAGAGCAGATCAAGGGCTGTTATTCTGCTCAGTTTAATCTCTGAGCAGAAAATGTACAGAAAAAACAATTCCAGAAACTCACTGATTAGTCAGCAGAACCACAGACTTGGTAACTGCCAGGCAGAAAACACCTATAGAACTGCACCCACACATGCCAGGCAATGACAGTAGCCACAAACAGATCCTGTAACCAAGAAGTTTTTCAGCCCTGCAGGTAAAGTTTGAGTTGTGGTAGTCTCAAAATGGCTATGTAATTTTCTCAGCATCATGTTAAGCAGCACCATAAAAGAGGGCTGAGAAGCTATAGCTGTGTCTGTAGCAGGCTGTGGTGAATGCACTTTGCTGGGTGTCTTTAAATTTGGTGCCCCAATCTCATCTCCTCCACCTCCATGCATTCCCTGGGGGGGGGGGGGGGGGGGGGGCAGACGACACGAGACAGGACCATAAGTATCTTTGCATATAACGAATGTTAAAGACTTCTAACAAAGTCCATATTTGCTTTGGGTAGATAATCAGGATCCATACAGTAATTTTTTGTCATGTATTCTACATTACAGCTGATATCCTCCAAAAAATATGAGCAGTGGAGTATTCTATAGAGCTGGCTGATGGTTTCAGAAAGGAAGCTGAAGGGCACATTGCATTTAGCATGAAATGCCTTGCAAAAGTCCTGGCAAGGTGAAGGATTAAACTGAATGAAGTATCTGGCCAGAGATGTTTTTGAGGCATCAAATGACTGCTCAGTGCAAGTACTGTGCTCCATGGAAAAGTGCCAGATTTCAACACATGCACAATTTTATAACACATTCAAGCACAGGCATCACCAACCTCTCTCTTTAAAGAGCACATCCATGTTGAATCCTCATGAGGGATTTATATGCTTTCCTTTTTAATAATGCACAACCTTGTATCTTGTGCAGTCTCTAGGAAACATTGGCAACCTGCAGTCAGGAGAGGCAAGGGATTTTTTGGAGACAGCTGTTTTCACACATTTTTCTGCTCCTGTTCATGCTCTCCATACAGCTTCTGCTGTATGGGAAGCTGATACTCTAACTGATGTTATGTGTATGTTGCATAGCGCATGTGTACACTCTAAAGACACATTTACATGCATACACATGCTCATGCACACATGGGAGCAGACTAAAAGAATAGACTAGACTAGACTAGACTAGACTAGAACATAGTTGTGCATTTTTCTTGTCAGAATCAGTATTGAACCTTTTGTGGCGCAGGGTCTTGGCTTATTTCATTGATCTGTGGTGTCATTTGTAAAATAAAAGCACATATAATCACCTGGACACTCATCATGCCTCATCTATCAACTCTCCTTTTCAAGGGTATGGAACTTAATGACCATAGATATGCAGGATATGTAGGCGATATCTATAATTCTTGTATGTATGAATGTATGCCTACATATAAAGTGACAGATCTCCAACTGATATATTGATTAATAAACCAATACTGCTGTCTGTGATGAGGATAATCTCAACACAAGTAAAATTGTAATGAATCTTGTAATTGTGATGAATCTAATAAAAAAACAATAAACCATCGGCTCTGTAGATGCCGCTGAATCTCTCTTGATTCAGTGAATCGCTCGTCTGGTCTGTGATATAGTATGATGTACACAAGCCACGATAGCATGGTACATCATTAGTTAACATTTTAGGTGTAACTGTATAAACAGACAGAGTGGCAAAACAGGCTGACTAAAGCTGGACATTAAAGAACTAGCCTACTATAAATTCTGCATATGACCAGCAGTGCCTTACTTTTTGCATTTCTCCAGGTTTTTCTATCGTTCCATCTGTGAAGTTGACTTACCATGAGCCCAATCAGAAGTTCAGACTGAAAAGAAAATAACAGATATTTCACATTCCCCAAGCTGGATCCATTGTTTAAAAGAAACCTCATGATGCATATCCAGTGCTCACTTTGACCAGTGATAGATGAATACTGTTTGTTATTCATACAGAAATGAGATTAAATATTATCCCTTTTACATTCAGTCCAGGTAATTCAAGGAATGAAATTCTGTTTGGGAATAGAAGATAACACTTCATGAACAGGTTGATTAGAAAAAAGGAAGGTAGTGAAACATAGCAGATGTCTGAAAGCATACAGAAAGTTCAGAAGGTTAAAAAGGTCGAGCCCCTATTTTCTTGCAAATAGGATTATAAATAAAGATAAACAGAAAGCAATTTTCTCACTATGTGTGGCGGTAAAAGTTAACGCCCTATGATGTGCCTCATTGCAATCTCAGAAACCAGGAACCATATGTCCACAAGACTTGTAATGGATCTTAGCAGAATACTGAAAGCTCAAAGCTAGGCAGCATTGTAGACACCTTCAAATTTCGTAATAGAATAAGGGAGTTAAACAGGAGATTAATGCCAGAGATAAAAAGCAAAATGAACATGTACTTAGAAATGTCTTGGAGACCAATCATGCTTCAGTGCAGCTGTATGGTATTAGTGATGAAAGACTTCAAAGGCTTTATGTGACAGAGAGAAACAGAACTTGACCAAAAGATGCTGGATTAGCAATTCCACAAGCAGTAGTCAGAATTCAGGGACACACAGTCTGACTCAATAAACAAAGCAGAACACAAAACCATCTCTGAAGATCATGACTCCTGCCCTGGGTTCATTTTATATGAACTTGTAGATGCGAATTATCTACATGTAATACATCAATGTCAAGAGCAGGACCATAGCTGGTAGATGCTAACTAGCATCTGCCTTGGAGATGGTCTCCACCCTCAGAGAACACAGGGAAAGGGAAAAAATCAATTTTTGATTTCCGTGAGGAGAAAAGGCAGAGGCATTATACTGTATATGTACAATTTATTGTACATAAAAGCAACTGCAACCAACAAAGCAATGATGGAACTAATTAGTTCTAATGAGGCTCTAAAGGGGCTGCAGTTCCTTTCACTAGTAAACATTCCGATAAGCAGCACTAAGCTGAACCAGGCATCTATAGACACAGGTTTGTTTCAACCTAGGTGGAAGCTCTCCATGTGAATGCGTTGGTGTTCATTCCATCACAACAAAAAACCCAAAATCATACTATATCTGTTAATGGTGTCCTCAAGAAATCACAAACAAACAGTGGAAAAGGAAGAAACCAATTTACAAACATTTTCCATGTACCAAGCCTGGAGAATTCATGAGGAGAACAGCTCATGACCATCCAGTTCTGTAAGAATTACAGAGGTACAAGTCCATAAATCTGATAAACACTGCAGCCCCCTGGAAATGGAAGGTAAATGCCAAAAAAATAAAGAAGATGCAGTTGGGTGGATTTGATAACTGGGGTGAAGGAGCCTCCTGTGCAAATGCTACCTGGGGATTGTACCACTGGGTATCGTAAGAACCTGAAATTCTCCAGTGAAACAGGAAAGGTTCATTACAATTTTACTTGGGTTGGGATTATCCTCATCACAGACAGGATCCTGTGCACTTCCCCTCAGGCACCACACTACAGGTTCAACAAAAGGGCACATACATTGGTTCCTTCGCCACCTCACTCCCACCACAGCAAAGTCTCTTATATTAAATGATTACCGCAGGTTCATCAACATCTGAGGGAATATTTACCTCTAATATGGATACACAAGGCGAGTTTAAACCAATCCCTACAAAACTGGAGAGGGCTATATGGAAGGGAGTGCAGGAAATTATGTAAATCTTTCACTCAGATGAACTCCTGAAAGATTTACATGGAGCACCAATCTCACAGGAAAACTTTGGTTCACTCTTTTGTGATAGCTGGGAAAAGAAAACAAAAAGCATAAAGGTTTCAATCTAGATGGGGCCTTGAGTAAACTGGTCTAGTGGAAGGCCTGTGGCAGGGGGTTGAACTGGATGATCTTTAAGGTCCCTTCCAACCTAAACCACTCTGTGATTCTATGATGAATCAAATAATCCAAATTTTAAAGCCAGGGCAACAAGGTTATCTGTAGAACTCAAACATAACAGGCAGAAGTGAGAAAAATGTGCTTTCACATTTGAAATGAGGAGAAAGGGTGATGGTTTCAACAACCTCCATGACCTGTGAAAGCTCAGACAGATCTATGCTGCTGGAGACCAACCACGGTACTTGACACTGTGAGCAGTCTATGAGCATAAAGACTTTTGAACAACATGGCACATTCACATTTCCCAGTATCTTCCTAGAGCTGAAAATGATTAGTGAAACCCTGGCAACAAAACTAGTTCATTAGCTGTGCTCATTCCACACTACAGAACAGTTCCTTGAATTATGATTGGAGCGAGCACAGCTCAAGTGTTAATGTGAAAGAAGGTAAGAGTTCATTTGGATTTATCCATGCTGTGGAGGATGGGTAATATTATAGGAGCAAAATGCCAACTTTCTTGTTTAAAGTGGGTTTTAAAGTTTCAAGGCTTAGTGATGCAGAAGCTGCATATAAAAAAGCTGTCCTCACATCTTTCAGATCATGTCATTGAGTAAGACAGGCTAGGGACCTTTCTCTGGTCCTAGGAAGTAGAATAAGTAGTATTATAGAGTCTGCATCCACACAGCTAATTCCCCCATTCCAAGCCCCTGACCCCAGCACAAGATCTTCAAGCCCACAACAACTGGTCTATGTTGGCCCCAGATCAGGCCAGAGCAGTCTGCAGGCAACCACTAATTGGTGTGGGCAAAAGCTATGCTAAGAAGCATACAAATCATGTAGAGTATGGGTGTCTGCAGGACAGAGCACAGCCTTGTGTCATGACGCTGTTTTTCCTCTGAACATCGAGGTAGCTTTGGAGCCTCTTCAAGCTGTGATCACATTACAAGGAAAACAGGTTAGGGTTCATTCACTATATGGTATTTGAGGCCTCTGCAGAATGACTGTGGGCCAGTGCCAGAAGACTAGCGGAAGTACCTTGGATCCTTGACTGCAGGATGGCACCTGGGTTCTACATTGAAACTCTGTAGAGTCATTACTAGGGTTATCAGGATTAGTCAGCTGTTTGGTGGAGCAGAGCCTCCACCCTTGTTATTTCCTGTGTTTAGTATAACAGAAATTGCTCCCTATGTGCACAAGCACGTACATATCCACACACACCAGCCACATTTAGTGATGCAGCTAAGTAATTCACCATATTCTGCTGTGTTATATTGGAACTCTGGTCATTTCAGGCGCTCTTTTAAAGAAATTTCTGGATAGGGATGCGAATATTGACATGCAAGCAATAGTCCTGCAAATATTTAATTCACATTGATTGCTTTTTGTTCCTATTTCCAGAAAAAAAATATAAAGTTTGCTTCAGCTAAGTAGATGGCTATAAAATTTAGCATAACTACGTACAGTATTTTAGAACATCAATGATAATGTCTGGGTATGAAAGGAACTAGTTAGCAGGAAGTTAACAAGAAGTTTCTTGTATTTGATCAGAAGTTCCCTGAATCAAATGCAATGATGTATTTGCCTTTGTAGGACTGAATTTTGCTTTGGTAAAAGTTTTGATTTGAAATTAATCCTTGATTTAGGGAATCTGCAATGAATGCTGCAAACGGAAGTATCGGTGCTTGTACAGCCTCATTTCAGCAATGCTGGGGAAGGGAGCTGAATCAGGCTGTCCATGTAGAATGTCTACTCCTTCTTTCCAGGAAAAAAGAAAATTATACTTTAGTGTGATTACTGGCATCCTGAGTGAACTTCCAATTGAAGTAAGTTGTTCAGGAGCTTGTAGAACAAATAAATGTTCTTACCTGCAGCAAGTGCAGCAGAAAGCATATTTTAGATAACCCAGATGATAACAACCTGCACAGAAGCAGTTACCTGTTGCCTAAGGTGCCATGGGTACCAGCTCACTATTTGTAAACCAAAAAGTTCCAGTTGCTTATTCAGACAGTACCTGATCCACATGTGCCATTGCTTGCATAACCGTCAGCTTATTTGCAAGCCGAGGTTGCTGGAATACATAGCGTTTCATTTCAGTCACCGTTTCTTTTAGGAAATGCTCTGTTCCTGAAAATGGAGAGGACTCCATTTAATGATTAACCATCAAAATAGATTCCCGCTTTATAATCTCCTAGGGAAAGGGCAAATCACTTTGACCAGTATACTCTCAGAACAGCTCATTTCAAGAAAGGAAAATGAAAAAGAGAATTCTAATACTGCCATAGAAAATACAACCTGGAATATTTTATAGAAAGCCTCTGTTGTGTCAGAAATCCTTCTGTCCTCTGTATCTCAGGGTGTATCGCTTCCTACACAACAGCAGCTCTTTGCCTCCAGCAATTCCCTTCGTAGTTCTTTCAGGACTGGGAAACCTTGCCTGGTGAGATTGGTTTTCTTCCTCTAGGACATTTTGATATAGGAGTGTTGTTTTATGCATCTTTATTTCAATAAATAAAGTTGATTGTTGCTGTGTTTGCTTTTCTGGTTTCAGTATTTTTACTGTGTATAACAGATGGAGCTGCTAGCAACACAGAGAGATAAGGTTGCTTAACGTTTTTCATGATAAATCTCTGTGTTCAGTTGCTTATATCTCATTTTATCCACTTGGGCTAAAGCATTTCATGCTCTCTTCTTGCCCCAGATTGTTTTTTTTTCTCCCTGATTTTCAGCAAAAACTATTCTGTTATTTTCAAAAAAGAAATAAATATATTTCCTAATGTTAATTTTTGTTTTGTAGGGCTGTTGAATCTGGGACAAAGCTGTTGCATTTTGGTAGGAAGGTTGTGGTGAAGTGAATTAACAGGTTCACTAATTTTAATCCATGTGCCAATCTCACGAACAATAAAACCATTGTGAAAAATGCATGAGCCTTCCTTGTGTAGCACTGGCTTTTGAGCTCCCTGTTTTTAGAACAATTCATTTAAAGAAATAACTTTGAACTAGTACAACCACAGAAAATACCAAACAGAAATTTTCATATCCTTCCTCTGGAAGTTTCAGCTAGCATAGCCAGGTGCACACGCACTCATGGAGCAGATATACAGCCTTATTATATAAAGATATGCAGACACAAATATTTCAGTCAAAATGTTTCCTCCTCTGAAATAGTTGGAATATTTTCCTGTTGACTTTGCTGGGAAAAGCATTGTTTCCTTGGTGAAGCTCTCTGCAACCTTCATTTTAAGTAAAGTTATGCAGCTCAGGCTGCTCCTACGCAGAAAATGCAGCTCTTGCTTTCCCTGCTACCACATCCTCTGCACACACACCCGTGTGGCGGCAGCTCCTGCTCTTTGCTCAGCCATTTTCAGGCCCACACGGGCACTTGGATGTTGAGAATTACTCACTGCAGGAGCAGCTCTTTTCCGCACCGTTCAGCTGAGCACCTTTAGCACTAGCTGGTGAGAAAGCCTCCCTGGGCTGGCAGCGCTTTGTCCCTGAACAGCATGCGCTGCGACAGTGCCTGGGACATTAGCTGTATATGATATATATTTCTCTTGGAAATGAAGTTCCCCGCAGGGAACGGTCTCTTTAATAATGCCTTCCAAAAAAAGTAAACTAATCAATTAAGATTTGTCAAGCAATTACTCCAAGAATTGGTCTGCACAACTGAAATGAATCAATTAAAATAATTAGCCTTATGGTTTGTGTGTGTGCCTAATTGTTTAAACATTTACCATGTGCATTTTCAAGCTAAACTTAACTCGCTTCCACATAGAAACTCCTCCAGTGTAGGAGATTGTACTGCAAATTACAGAGTTCACATGTTTAATATATGTCAATATATTTTCAAGGACATTTACATAATATATGCAAATGCATTGAAGAGTCTTAGCTGCTGTAAAATCCCATCCCGTCCTTAACATCCAAATCATACACAGCAATATGTGCTGTGGGTGTTGTGGGGTTTTTGTTTTAACTGACCAGCTCCTCCACCAGTTTAACTAAATTAGTGAGGTTGCTGAAATACACTCCACGTGGGGCCGCGCTCTGGGACTGCTCAGGCACTGGAGCGAAGGCAGCATGCAGCTTGATTATTAAATGTAGTGGTTCACTGGAGAGACACTAAGATTAGAAATCCGCACTCCTCACTGCTTGCCATTTAACTTCCAGTTAGAAACCGAGGTGTTGGTCTTATCCTATAAAATCTTGGATCATTTGGGCTTGGTAAAAAAGGGTAGTGTTATTCTCCTCATAATAAACAGCCAGAGCAATGCCCAGAGAGCAAGCAAAATGGCAAGATTAATTATATTATATGAACTAAAAGGGATACTGGACTCCAGGCAGGCTACTATGCTTCCACCTCCCATATTCCAAGAACTGCTGTAAAATATATTATTAGCACATAAATTTTTCCTTTCTTTAGAGAGTGAGTATTATAGTTCAATGAATTTCCAGCACTGAGTCAGCCCTTCATAGTCATGGCACAGTGTCAGAGAATCATACAAGTATAGAACGGAATCCTGGAATCATTTAGGTTGGAAAAATACTCAAAGATCATCAAGTCCAACCATTAACCTAGCACTGCTGAGTCCACCACTAAATCCATATCCCTAAGTACCACATCTACAATATACCTCTAGGGATTCAACCGTTTTCCTGGGCAGCCTGTTCCAGTGAAGAAATTTTTCCTAATATCCAATCTAAACTTCCTCTGGCACAACTTGAGCCTGTTTTGTCTCATCCTATCACTTGCTACGTGGCAAAAGAGACCAACACCCACCTCGCTACAACCTCCATTCAGGTCCAGTGTGCAGGGTCAGACAGGAGCATCTCACCCTGTCTTCACACAAAATTCCATTCAGGGAGTTAAAACTGTGCAAACAGACCAGCCCAACTGCCCCCAATGCACTCACCTTTCTCAGTGTATAATGACCAAACTCTCAACCTCACTTTCAAACCTTTGCATATTTTCTGTTATTGCCCTTGATCAGTTGTCCTCTATGATGGAAAGACTGCTACTAAGTAATTAAGTAGTACAAAAATATTCCAAATGGAAATCAAAAACTTCAAAATATCCCTGAGACATTTCCCAAATCTCAGACCTTTCACTAAAACAGCTTTTCCCCCCTTTCGTTGGTGTTATATGTGTGTTGAGAGTGATCAAGAAGAGAAAGCAGCTCTCCCAGATGCCCTGAGGGGTGCCCTGCCCACTGGACATATCACAGGTCACAACTGATTATTCTCAAGGCATTCAATACGCAGAAGTAGTCTGTGGCATGCTACAGGGAAGAGAGCTGAGGCACAGGCTCTTCCCCAGCCTGCATCGTTCAGGAACAGCCTGCTTCTGGGGACAGCGGCTCCAGCTCCTGCAGGTAAATACCTCCCTGCTGCAGTGTGGGGCCCTCCCCAGGCTGTGGGGTCTCTCTAGGAACCAGTTGTGACCATTTCTGCTGTACCACAAAGCCAGTGCAGAACCTTTCTGAATAACACCGGGGAAGTGCAGCTGCTTATGGAACAGGCATTTGCATCTGGATCCAGCTCCACAGGAAAGCTGGGGTAAGCACCATTTGTCTGGGAACAAGCAGTGCTTGGGTCCTGCAGCAGCTCTGGTCCTCACCTGCAGCCAGGAGGTGGCTGCAGCCGTGTGGTCAGAGAGTGAGTAGGAACCAGCAGCACCAGAGAACTGGGGGAAGTGGTTAGGAGGCACTGAGACCAAGGAAACAGTAATGAAATGTGGTTGTGGTTCCAGGCTGCAAAAATGCCACAAATCAGGTACATTTGTATGAATTCTTTACACCAAACTGCACTCAGTTACCCACACAGGAGCAGCCATGACTTATATTGTTTCCAGCTTACATAGCGTCAGTCACAGATTCCTTATTACACAAAGTTATTTTCCTTATCGTATCTGCCACAGACGATAAAAACAAACAAATGGGTGAATATAATTCATTCACTGGTTTATGAACCTGCAGTCCCACAGAGACAGTAGGAAACAGCAATGCAGGCTGCGGTGATGCTAAAATTGAGGGACAAAAAGCAACACAAGATCACAGCGTATAAGGATTTATTCTAAGAAACCAAATGTGCTCTGGGATTGATGTTGCTTCCCTCCTTTCTGGGTTCATTATCCTTACTGTAAAGCATTTACTTATAAACATCAAACTAAGGCACCATGATTTCAAGGGAACACCCATGGATCAGCTCAGGGCTGGAAATGGATATGGGTTTGTTTAGGGGTTTGGAAGTTTTTGGAGTGTCAAGGTCAATGATTCCTTTTAATGTAAAAGCATTGTTTGCCCCTTCTTTGAAAACTGTAATGGTGCAATATATGTACATGCATAACAGTTTTTCCCTCTGTATTGTTCCACCTGTTTTGGTGCTATGTAATGTAAAAGAGCAATCCAAAACTATCAGGTGGACTGCAGATTTGCTGCCCAGTTGAGATAATTTTTAACTTGACCTTGACTTTGTAGAAAAGCAGTAACAGCAAAGATATCTGAATTGCATAGACATGATTTGGGTTGGTATTTTCAATGTAAAAAACAGGAGAAAGAAGAGAAAGTGCCATACAGTGCTCAGGCAGAAATCATGGATGCTGTGAAATGCCGAGAAAGGGAGCTCAGCACATAACTATCTTGAGGACATCGGGAATACTCAGACTTGCCCTGAGGACATTTGCAAATACAAGCTAATGCCTTTCAGGATTAGTTTTTAAACACACAACGTTGTAAATGTGTGGAGGGGGTTTATCCGCAGTGTACCAGATTGTTAGTATTGCGTACGCCAAAATATGCTTTGGCCGCAATCCGATGACAAAGCCTTGTCTGAGAGATACTGATCAGTCTGGGGAGCTGAAGTGGCGCAGAAGAGATTTAAAAATAAGGGGGTCTGTTCTCTGAGTCATACACAAAGCATTCATTAACTGTTACCGGCGCATAATTCTCTCCATCCTCTCTCCTGCACTGCAACCAGATGGGAGGAAAGCATATTTTGGGAAAGAGATATGTTGATTACCCTACCCTGGCAAAAGGGCTCAGAACTGGCTGAACTTTTTGCCTGACTATTTTTCTGCGCACAGATTTAGGGTCTAAGAAGCAGCTCAATGGTTCATCTTTAATTACACACTTTCAAAAGCAGCACAGCACTCCTCACCTGCACATATGTACATTTTGCACTGTAAAGCCTGCATCTAATGTATGAGACAGAGGTCACTGCAAAAATGAGGTGGTGTTGTGAGTTTATAGCTGCCCTGCCAAGCTGAGTGCAAGTGCTCCCAAGGCTGGATCACCTTTCATTATGTTTAGCCAAACAGAGAGGAAATGCAACTGATGCACAGATCCTTATAAACCAGTCCTCCCTCTGCCACAGCTTTCAAGGATAGTTTTAATAATTTTGCTAGTCACAATGAGGCCTGCTTAGTTATGCTTTTATTAGTCCTCAGCAATGGGTCCTAATTAAACATAGCAGTGCTGCAGATACTGTTAAAAAGGCCTCCACCACCCCTTCATACTCTGCACTACTGAAAGGGTGTAAGTCTGCTATTATACTTAGTATGGTCCCCACAAATGTGCCAGAGAGTTTATGGCTCATCACCAAGAGACCAAATTACCATCATACACTCCCCAAAGGTACCATTAGTAGGTTTCCTATTTGAGTTTTGCCATTGCTTGAAAGCCCAAGAGGTTTTCCCATATGCTGAGGAGCAGTTCTACAGCTGATGACAGACTGAAGAGCAGGAAGGATTACAGGTAACGTGGCAGAAAAATGTCATTCATGAAAAGAAACTTTTGCTGTTTTCACACATTTAGATTAGGCTTTGGTTATTTAACCTTTGTTTAAAAAGTCATTATAGCTTCTTTAATAGGAAGCACATACTTACAAAACCTCAAACTGTTTGCTTTATTAATGTGCTATCGTAATAGAAAACACCAACCACAAAAATGTGTGCAGATATTAGCAGGCAGCATAATACTGTAAAATGGCAAAACTTATTCAAAGTTATCAAATCCGTGAAATTAGTTATAGTGTTATCTGTCTGGAATTACATCATCACACTGCAATAGAAGGAAGAATGTTGAAGGAGACCAAATTCAGCTGCTGGAGATCAGACGGAGTAGGGAGGACTGGTGAGCACAGAAAACTCTCTATACATGGCTTCATCATTAAAATTTCCCTAGCATGAGCAGAAAAGTTATTAAATTCCCAATAAAAAATGTTTAAATGTCATTAAAAAGTTTCAGTTCTATCATAATTCTCCTTAATGGTAAAAATTTCAGTGCTGGTTCTCAGTCCCGAAATTGCATTTTCAAAAAACCCTGTGCTTTAAGTCTCAAATTGCCTAATTACCATATTTATTGCTGGATTCTGTTTTCTAATCCCTGATGACTTTGTCAGATATATTTATGTTCCCTTCATTTTACTCTCATGCAAGAAGGACATACAGGAGTTAGTAAGGATGGCATGTTGCAACCTGGGTTGTATAGGTGGCTGTTATCACACAATATTAATATACCTCATTAGCTACCCAGTATTAAAGACTCTGCAAACTATACACACACCTGTGCTTGGGAAATCATAGCAGTATTTCCTGCTTAACATTTATACATGTTATTCTTGCAGGATGGTC